GAACAACTGCACTGGACCATTGAAATATGCTGGTGTGTGTGTGTGTGTATATACCTGGTGAAGTACATAGTGGCATCAGCCTCAGACTCATGTGGTCTGAGAGCGTAGTAGACGTACTTAAGATCCTCGAGATCAGAGAGTTCAGGGATCCCACAGGACAACATCTGCGCGCACACACACACACACATACACACATATACCGAAGATGTACAATAAAAGCATTTAGACATCCCAAGTTTTGCGCGTGCATGTGTGTGTGTGTTTCCGACTCACTAGTCCCAATAGGTTTAGAAACAGGTGTGTGTGTTTTCTGATCAGGTTGTAGGCTTCACAGCACAGATCCACAAAGTCATGGAAGCGACTGGAAGGTTTGTCTCCTCCGTTGATGACGTACGCCATGTCAGAGGTGAAGACAAAAGGGACTCGGTCACTGCAGAGGTCACATGACCCGCATTGTTGTCAACGTCAACATCATCATCATCATCTCCAGAACAGTAGACGTTAATTCAATCAAGGTGTGTTGTGTCTCACCGCTTGATGTTTCCAAACATCTGTGCGTGGCCCAAGAACTTTCCAAAGTCGATGTGGAACATGTGACCACTGGTCTTCAGCATAATGTTATCATTGTGGCGGTCACATATTCCCAGAATGTAGGTGGCCACGCAGCAGCCGGCACACGAGTAGATAAAGTTCTCCACTGCCTAGATACACGCCACAGTTATCTCAGTGAAACTCTTATTGTGTGTGTATATGTGTGTGTGTGTGTGTGTGTGTGTGTGTGTGTGTGTGCGTGCGTTACCTTGTCATACTGCTCATCTCTGGGGTTGTGTTTTAACAACCATTCTGCTAACGGTCGATCTTTAAAAGAGCCAGTGACTCCATGTTCCACTTGGATCTTCCTGAGAGTGTCAGCATGAGGAATCATCTCCACCATACCTGGAGGAGAACCACAGACAAGGACACCCTTGAGGAGAACCACAGACAACTTCACACCTGAGGAGAACCACAGACAAGGACACCCCTGAGGAGAACCA